TACGAGAAAACAAGCTTAATTTGGTGTCCTTTTGAGTGTTGTGAAATTCACACGCTTCAGAAGGACGCCTTATTCGATGTAGTATGTACGAGAAAATAAGCTTAATTTGGTGTCCTTTTGAATGCTGTGATGTTCACATGCTTCAGAAGGACGCCTTCTTCGATGTAGAATGTACGAGAAAACAAGCTTAATTTGGTGTCCTTTTGAGTGTTGTGAAATTCACACGCTTCAGAAGGACGCCTTCTTCGATGTAGTATATACGAGAAAATAAGCTTACTTTAGTGTCCTTTTGTATGCTGTGATGTTCACACGCTTCAGAAGGACGCCTTCTTCCATGTAATATGTCACTAGAAAATAAGCTTAATTTGGTGTCCTTTTGAGTGTTGTGAAAGTCACACGTTTCACACGAAGGAGTGATTAGTAGCGAGTTTTACAAAGATCACAACATCTACAAAAGCACCAATAAAAGCTTAGTTTAGAAATTTTATCGACAGAAGGCGTTCCTCTGATGCGTGTGAATTTCACAACGGGGATCGATAGCACCTTAATTAAAATAAGACAATTATCAAAATATTCCTATTCTTGCATACTATACGAAGAAATCGTCTTTGTATAGTCCTTGTTAGTATTTTCTCAACTGAAAGAAATTCTTATCAATTAAAGTGTTATTTTTTAGAGAAAGCTCAACCCATTTTACTTTGTTGGAGAGATAAGGTTTTGCTTGAAAGATTAAGAAAATTGAGGATCAAAAGTTAGTTTGAGTATTATAATGTTTAGGCCACCCATCCAAATACTAACCTACCGAAACGGGCTTGACTTATCATTGAAGCGCAAGGTTTTTCCACTGGACCACTGTTGCAGATTAATCAGCATAACAATAGCCGTGAGAACAATGCACCAGATAGACAAGACTTTTTATCATCAACTTTTCAACCGATTCCGTGCGTGGCAGAGATGCAAGGGATTAGCCGATATGGTCTGGGGGCCGGCTGGTCTCTCCCCTGATGCTYCGGCTAGAACATTTTCTTGCGTAATTCGTACACCCAAGGGCAGAAGGATTTAATYGCCGTCAGGTCCGAAGTCCATACGCCGCCTCAGCTCTGCGGATGTCTCGGGGGTATGGCAAATTAGAATCGATTATTTTTCTTAAATATTTGTGCGTGCCTTCGAACCCCATTGAATCCACATCAAATTTTTCTTTTCTTTTTTTTAAATGCATTTTTTATTAGATTTAAATCTTCAACACTAAGACTATCTTTTAAAAGAAAAAAATATGTATTCCTTTTCGGTTTCAAATTATTTCAGATATGTTTTTAAACTGGTTTTCATTCAGTTCTGTCTATTTTCTGGATTAATAATAGTCTCTTTTAATGGGATTAACTTAATTCAATTCAATTCAATTCAGTTTTAGCGAATAATTACTGTCATTTGAAAAAAGGATACTCTTAAATATGATCAAGGATACCCTTAAATATGGTGAAGAATACTCTTAAATATGGTCAAGGACACAATTAAATATGGTCCTTTGGAAGTCCAGGAGATTGAGTTACTGTAGTCATATTTAAACACATAAATATTTATTATAGCTGAATTTATGCTATCGTAGGGTACGGCTACTATCCGACTGCATAAAATTCGCCTGATAATTATACTATCCCTAGTCTCTCTCAATCACCTGGACTGCGAGTATCCCTTCTAGCCGGCTCCTAGGGAGATGGCTACGAGGGATACTCGCAGTCCAGGTGTTTGGTCAACTCAACAGATCTCAAAATAAAACGAATAAATAAAATAAAAAAAGATCAAAAGATACTTAATCGACGAATATGGTTCAAGCCTTGATAAGGAGACGCACGGCAAAGGTCCTTTCGCTGGATGTGAACTAAGCATGAGACCATGAGAGAGCTACTTTTTCACATGCATTCGTAAAGGATCTTTAACATCAACGAACATTTATGTGTTTTGTTCGAAGCCGAACAAAAGAAAAATTGAAATAGATAAAAAGAAATTTATTAGAACAATATTATAGCTTATAGGAGTTGAAAAGGCCCTCTGTGCGGAGTTCAACAAGAAAGATGGCAGACAAGAGCCTATAGGAACTCAGTCAAACTATTATTTAAACCTCCTATATTTTATTTATTATCAGCAAACTGTTTATGCTGTAAAATTTCGAGCCGTTATTTTATTTTTAACGGATTGTTTGAGAATGGGGCGTTAATCTTGGCTTCTTCTCAAATTTAATTTTGTTGATTGTCGTTTCTCTCATGATGACTCATCAGCCTCGGTTTCGTGTTCGATTGCTTCATTATACAACTAACTGAAGGGATAAAAAATACCAGGCTTAGTTTGTGGTTGAATGGTGTGTTTATGAAAAAACGACTACATCACGGGCGTAGAGTGCGTTTCACAGGCCCCTCAATGCACAAATTACATACATTTACTGTATTTTAAAGGGCCTCTCTCCGCCCGTGATGTAGCTTTCCATCGTACGTGTCTTGGCTTCACATTGAAACCCATTTGGGACCGAGTTTTTCAATTTCTTCTACTTCTAGCATGAAAAAATAATAAAGAGTACATTGTGTATGACTTTAAAAAACTAAAAACACAGACGAATGTTACGCTGAACCCCTTTTTCTATTTGATACAACAAGCTGAAAAATTATTATCTCCGCGCGCGACTATCCTAGTTCATGTTGGAATGAATCAGAAAGTGATCCACTTAAACACTATACTACACTTATATAGTACATAGTACTTGACGTACCTTGATCTTATAGGTGTAAGGACAATGGCTTGCCTTAACGGGGATCGTGAGATTCGACGATAGCGCCGCAATAATAACACAATTATCAAAATATTCCGAATATCCATACTACACAAAGAAATCGTATTTGGATAGCCCTTACATGATTTTATCGATATCATGCAGATCAATGTCAGAGTGCGGCTAAGACAGAAAATCGCATTGAATTTTAGTATGTTTGGCCAGGTTTCGCTGGGAGGAAACGCTTTAAATCTGCATAGTTATAATCAGCTTTTGGCTGTCAAGTTCAATTGTCGCCGCCAAGTCTCTTGGGGAGGGGAAGGCGTGTTGTAAAGGCGTACACAAGTGGCTTATGTGATATTTTTGATGCTCGTAAAACCATACGTTTTTTACGATAAAAGTGAAACAAATTACACCATTGATTCCTACTTTGTTTGCTCTTTTAGAATTTGCTAGTTTTAGCATCAAAATCCAAAATCGTGGAAAATTCCAATCTGGATTGACTGCTTGGATTGGACTTTTCTGAGATGGAGTGTCGGATCGCGAAAAAATATTGCTTTAGTATTTCAACTTCAAATTATGGTGAAAAGATGAACGTTACTAGAAAAAGTACTTTGAAGCAGTTGTTTTTAGAAAATGTATTTAAAAAATGGCTTTTATGAGAAGGAAACTGTAAAGGGTACTCGGACAGAATCTGTGAATTTATTCCACTTATTTCTTTTCTTTTTTTATCAAAACAGAAATCAAAAAAGACGTTCTGAAACTACTTATTTGTGGCCATGCCAGATAACAAGATAAAACAGAAAATACAGTTTCATACAGTTGCCATGGGATACCGGAAAGGAGAAAGAGTAAGTCTGTAAATTCAATGCAAGGGGAAGATATTCTTTACAATATGCCTGAATCAATGCTCTTCAAGTGAAAACAGAAATGTGAGTGGTGATTTTTATGTGTGTTCAAAAATATATATCTATGTATGTGTTTTTTATTGACTTTTTTAAGGTATGGACTGCCTGTGATAAGAAAGTCAAGATACCACAGGGGGCCCAACTCTTTTTCTACATGTTTTCTACAATTGTTGTGATTCAATTTAACAAACCATTGACTTTACGCCTCTTTAAACTTTCCCAAATCAAGGCATATGTTGATTATTTCACAATGAAGTTGACATCCAGTGAAAAGACCTTTGAAGCCTCAAATCAACTCCGAGCTTCAAAATTCCTTTGACTGGATGCCGGAACTAAGCGTGAGACCATGAGGGAGTGACTTTTTCGCATCGCACGGACCGTTTTCAAATTGTAAAACGTATTTTTTATTCGACTCTGAAACAAATCTATAAACTGAAAACAGATCAATAGAAACTTAATGGACGAATATTCAGAAGACGCTTTTCCTTTTTCCTTTAACAGTCTCTTACATTTTCCAATCTTAGGCCGGCCACTTTTTTCTCATATTAGTCTCATATAAGTTTTGAATCGAATCTTATATTAGCCCCCTCAGTTTTGAGGGTCCTCCGCGCTAAACTCAAATTGTCTAAAGTTGATTAGGAGGTTCGAAGGTCCTTTCGCTGAATGTGAACTGACGTGAGACCGTGGATTTTTCTCATCAAATAAAAGGAACTTTTCTCATAATCGAAAAGTCACATGATTTACATACTCTACCCCAGACTAAAACTAAAATTGTACACCTATCACAGACTAAAAGACGGAAAATACGGTTTTACAACCGATTGCAATCAATAT